TCTTTATTTTAACACAATACCTCAATTTAGATTCTTGTAGCTACAAAAAAAACTTTGTTTAGATATCTCAACTAACACACTTATGTTTATTTATTGCCTCAATCCTCGAATCTAGATTTGTCTACCAAGACATCAACTATTAAATAATATTTTTCAACCCTTATTTGATCAATGCTAAGGTTAGTGGTTGATGAAACGTGATGTTTATCGTATATCCTCAACGAAGATTTTCTTAACCTTCACACGTGTTGTTTTTTAAGTGATGTTGTGTCTCATCCTAGGTATAAAGTCAAAACTCGTCAAAAATCATACTTAAGTCATTTTGAAAACTTTGATGTAATAATTTTGACAATAACTCCAAATCTGAAAAGAAATTACTTAGCATTCGACTTATGATCTCAATAGAGATTGTTCAATTAATATGATCTAGAGTGAATAAAATATGAACCCTAGGACAAATTATAAAGTATTGCACACCTGATTCTTCTTAGTTTGAGAAACTGAAGGTAGAACATGAATATATGTTTTCACTTAATCATGATGAATAAGAATTTTTTAAAGAAAGAACTATTATTGCTTAGTCAAGTTTATATTCAGACCTTTTGCTATATAAGACTTGTTTTATTTTATAGAAATATATATTAGAAATAATTCGACGAAAAAAAATACATTATAAATAAGAGAGTTGTTAATACAGAAAATCTAAATTCATATATTTCATTTTCAAAATCGATTGATAAAAATATTATTATATATGTGTACTTTTAATCATTTGTTTTCAATGTTTCTATTGTAAATTTTGTTCAATTGATACAAATATTATTATATATGTGTACTTTTTTAATCATTGTTTTTCAATGTTTCTATTGTAATATTTTGTTTAATTGATACAAATATTATTATATATGTGTACTTTTTAAATTTTGTCAAAATGTAACTTATTATTAAGTTTTGATCAAAATGAGTAGAAAATTTACTTGATAAGATTTAATCATATACTTTTCATTTAAACAAATTCGATATAGTAACTATCTATTTCTATCTTTATATTTTTTTAATTAACAAAAATATTATACTTTTGTGTGCTTGTTTACATTATCATAAAAATGTAATTTATTATTAAATTTTAGTAAAAATGAGTAGAAATATTAAAAGAAGAGAGAGATAGCTCCATAAATAGATCAATAATGAATTTTTTGTTTTCAAAAAAGTTGTCCACCTTAGCATCTTGTGAATTCTCCAAGTGCTTATGTGGCAAGAAGTTACTTTTGAATTGCCATAATATATAGTATGGATTACTTTGACTCTAATCGCATATCTAAAATACAATTTGGTTGCAGGGGATTGGTTGTCAAGGTAACTTTCTTTGGTAGGATGGTTACTCAATTAAATGTTATCCTTGCAAATACGGGTAACCGTCCTCTCATCCCTATCATTATATCATTATATATCGTTCTTTACAATGGGAATGGAATATCTTTATTACTTTATCTTGATTAGTCCAACAATTTGAATACAAATTAATAAAATTTATTTAACCGATCGTGAAATTTGCAAGCGAGAAAACCTTCTTCTCATCTCGAGTGACTTTGCTCTTGGAGAATCCAAGAATTTCATAAATTAATTTTGGGCCAATGTGAAATTCATGACAATTTAATAACCTTATTTAGTTGCGCGTTATAAGTTTGAAGTTTCAAATAGAAAAGGGGATTAATTATCACTCATTATTTTGGTAAATAAGTGACAAAGGTGGACCAATTCTTCGAGTGAAAATTACAAAAGCACCTCAACAACTAATTTCAACCCAACCACCAAAAAGCTAAATCAATTAAAATTAAGGATGGAGAAGAGGTAAGTATCAATTTTGATTTAACGACCTATTAACTGTCAATTGCTAACATTTTATGTAATATGTAGGAAAATATGTATTCCGTCAAATACAAAGTTTTCAAAGTTAATATGGGTGGTGCTATGCTGGATGTGAAAACCTGTCGATAAAAGTATAGTTTCTATTGTTGTTTATGTCATTACTAACATTATACTTATTCAAGATCCACCTTCGAGTTCTGAACAAAACCACTGAGGCTAACTTTATTGTTATGGATTGAGTGAGATATGGAATATTTGGAAATCCGGCTAAAAGGCTATTCCAAAACGACGGTATAATGAGAGGATTACCACCTACTCATCTCTTACAAATTGCGGTAATGATATTGAAGTTTGAAATTAAGCTCACATATTGCATCGTTAATCCAACAAGTGAGTACACGATTTTCAGGATAGGAAAGGATGAGAAGAGCATAAATCAAACGATCTTCCTGACTTGATTGAGGTTAATTATACTTGCATGAAAATGATGATCAATATTAATTATAAAATTGTAATATTCTCCATTGGATTTGGAGTATATTTGGAACGTGCATCCTCTGGTTATTATTTAACTAACCTGCCTACCATGTCTACTTCTCACATGTTGATTTTACAATGCAATTACTTGCGTCTATAATCCACTAAATTAACCGCTATAAACTGTATACAACGTGTAAATTATACATAGTTATATAATCAAGTATATAGTTCCTCAATTATTATATCATGCATGGTTGATACTCAATTATATTATTTTAACTCTAGACAAATGCAGTTTGTATAATTTAAAACTCCCGAGGAACTTTCCTTTATTACCCACTAGATGCATCCAATTATATACTGGTTGTATTATCAAGTATATACGCCTTCAATTTCTACACCATGCACAAATATATGCTTTCAATTTTTAAACCATGCACAAATGAAACTTAGTTGTACTCTTTAATGTATATGCAAATGCATGTCGTTTATAACATAATACTCCAGTGGAACTTTGTTTCCTCTCGCACTAACATGCAAGCAATTGTATCCAACTACAATTTTAACTCAAATATATTAAACCCCTATGATTCTAGACAATCACAACATATATTCTGCTTTTGAATGTGAACGATCTTAATTCATAATGCTAATGCAAGTGAACAGGAATGACACTGTTAATGATGGATGTATTGAATCGGTACTAGAGATGACAATGATCTTGAGAAGAAGAAATACATTTTTTATGAGGAAGATACAAGTACCAGTGATGAGGAGAATGAATAATTTTTTGGGTATTGTTCATAATTTGGACGAGGTAAATTCAACTCCAATGAAAAAGATAATTGGTATTTGTAAATATTTTATAATCAAATTTTTGTGCTTAATAAAATGCATGAAAACAAGGAAGAGATTACTGAAATGCAAGAGAAGAAGGTAGAGGAAATTGACAATGGAGATAAATGTCTCGCTAATGGAGATGGCATTATTATTGGTGCAGATGATGATGTTGCTCATGACGGAGGAAGTGCAAATAAGTCAACATGAAAATGTGCAGTAATCTCTCACGACGAGGAGTAAATAGAAGGGTGATTTTAAAATGACTTTAGGAGTCGGTATGAGTTTGCCTTTCATTTCTGTAAAAAGATTTTAGTCAATGAGTGAGTTACAATGTTGAAAAACACTATGATATTGATCATTTTGAATTGTTGAAGTACTTTAATAATTTGAGTTCTCTTATTCTAACAATCAATTTCAATATTTTCAGTATGTGAATACTATCTATTTTTTAAACTATCAAAACCCGTGTATTTCACCTGCAATTTTATAATATTGTTTCTGTGGTTGACGATTGAATCCGGCCAACTGGCTGGGCCCACGACTATTAGGCTCAATATAGACTATCCTAACTTTCAAATATCATAAATTCACCGGCACGAAAAATGGACGGTTGTGTGTTCTGATTAGGGATGTCAATGAGTTAGGTTTTTTAAAATTCATCTTCAACTCCTTGTGTGTATATGTCAAAATCAAGTGAAATACTCGTGGGATGCTAGAAGAGTGTAACGTACTTGTAATCGATTCTAATAGACACACATGGGTACACAAATATAATCATGATTAATGAACAATGGATATTCATATTCAAGATTCTGTCTACAACTAAATTGAAATAAAGTGAACAATGTTCATAAATTATAATAACTGTTCATAATTTATTAACCAATAACAAAATAAACTAGAAATTACATCTTGTTCATAAAAAAAAACGGTGTCTTAATGTCTGAGTGCATGTAGATTGTTTTTTCAGGCCAAATATACCAAAACCACCACTAACCGCAAAAAAAAATTCAAACTTGAGATTTACCCAAACCTACAAACTTCTAAATTTACCCCGATTTGATTGGGTTTGGTCGTGTTGAACACCCACAAATGCAACTTTCACTTCCATTCCTTAATACCAATCACCCTAACTTCTCTAATTAACATAAGGAGTCCTTTTCGTACAAGCAAAATGTTGATGCCATTACCACTTCAAAAACCATACACCTACTATAAATCCCTCGGATGGCTTTCAGGAACAAGCTTCATCTAGCTACTTACCCTTGACAAAAATTGATTTTCAGCCATTAAAAGTGTCCTCCATACAGTTGATCCACTTTGCCACTCAAACGTACGACACCGCCATTAATCCACCATCAACCATCTGGCCAAACTAAAAACCATCTCTTTATAATGATGTTGCATCAAATCTTCCTCTCTTGCGTATCATTACCACTCTGAACCTACACCTCTTCAATTCGACCTCTCTTCTTCAATTTCTCAACTATGCAAGCCATGGTAGGTAATTGCAGTTGTAGGGATCAAATCCACCACAATCCCCTAATCTACAGAGATGAATCAAGTTGACATTGATCAGAATGCTACCCACATAAGAAATCATTAAACCAGGCACTTCCTCTGGGTTGTTTATGTAGCATACATAACAAGATCCCAACAGATGCACCTTTATTATGACATTAAATTTCCTTCCACCTGCAACCCAAAACTGTCTCTTCATACTGCATAAAAATCCCCAATTGCAACTCCGGATCAGATCATCCCAGAGTGATACCGCAATGGGGTTTTTCCAAATGAAGCACAGAGCCAAGATGGTGAACAAATTCAGGCTGCTCTTCTTTCTCTCCACACCCAAAAAAGGTACTGATCTGCAGCCATCACATTCAACCGCTGCTAATTGTTGCAGCAAGGATGTTCTCGATTCGGACAATGATCAGCAGGAAGAAGAGCTGGTGGCGGGGAGGATTTCGGTGAAAGAGTACTTGAGACCGTCGGAGAGGCTGGTGTTCGAGCCGGTAGGCAGCACGAGGTCGATACTCGAGGCCGCAAAAGTTCCCTTCCCGGACTGCGTGGTGGTGGCCGTGGAAACCGGTGATCCGAGGGCGGATTTTCGAGCTTCGATGGAGGAAATGGTGGAGGAGCTGCGGTTGGATGGTGCGGAGCAGCTAGCTGGATTGTTGGCGTGGTACTTGAGGATGAATGTGAAGGAGAACCGTTGCTACATAGTTGAAGCATTCGTTGACATGTTTACAGCTTCCTCTGTTCTTGCTTCTAACACTAGCACACCACGGCTTATGGGATGGGCCGGATAAGAAGGCCGAACCCGGGAAACTATGTTTCTGGGCCTGAAGGAGTCCATATTCGAGAGCGGGCCGTACTCTTTAGTACAGCACATGGCCCCAACGATCCAAGGGCGATTACGCTTAATTCACATGGCCCAAAATGGAGTAGGAATCAGTGGTTGGAAAAGAGTTTGAGATTAAGATTTAAGATGGTTGATTACTTGTAAAGGATATGTGTTTTGTATGGTGGTCGCAAACATCAATTTAAATATATGAGGGAAAAAACGGACCGATATAAAGAATCACATGACCGAAAAACAATCGAGAAACAAAATTGAACACAGCTAACGAAGGGAACAAAGAAAGGGTTTTTACGTAGCACCAAATAGGCAGTCCTGTTACAATTTCAGCTTACGAAACGAGCATGGAAGTGCCCAAAAGCATCACGCCAAATCATGATTTCCTCCAGAGCAGTCCCATTCGACTAGATTATTTATTTATTTTTATTGGTGGAAGATTAAATGGCTAACATTATTCTTGTTCTTAATCCCGGTGGTATCATTTAGACTCAAAATAATCGGCTGAAACTTCACTAATGCTCGTTCCCTTTTGTCTATATTCTGGCGGTCACTTTCCTTAATACGGGTTGAATCAATCAAAATAGGTCCTTTTATGCTGGACTACTGCACTATGTTCTTAGCTACGATACAATACATGGCGCCTTGCCGTAAATTTTCTTTTGACCGATCCTTGCCGGCAAACTGTTGAACAGATATGGATGATAAATAAGTTAGGATTGTTTTGGTGGGATTGTTATTATACTAGTACCGTTTTACGGTTAAGAAAGCGTTATTTTTTTTTTTTTTTAGTATATACAATACATGATTTGTTTATGTAATGTGACAGAAACTATAACTCAAAATGAGTGATTATTATATATCAGCATTTAGCTGAGAATGTTGATATAGTTTAGTTAAAATTATTTTATCTCAGGTTTAAACTGATGTGATTTACACAATCACACGTACTAAACACTATATTACAATGCATTAAATTCGTAAATACATATTATATATGAAAACACAACAACACATCTATTTAAAAATTGCAACTTCCAAACAGTCCCACAAATTTCTTTTTTGTTTTATTTTATTTATTGTTTCTCGAATAAACTATTGGAAAATCGAAAAGCTGTTTCTATTTAAAGAAGAGGCTCCGCAGGAGAGCAAATCACTCTGTCTCTCGCCCACACATACACTTGACTGTCATTTTCCTCTACCAAACAACCAATTAGCTCTCTAAGCTCTTCCCTCGTCTCTCCATCAATGGCGTCTGCTTTAAGGAGCTTCCTGAGGAAACGATCAACGGCTCTGATTGCTTCCCCCCACCGCCACCACCAACAGCCGCTGCTGATCAGGAACCTGTCGACGGAGGCGGCGGCCGATTCCCATTCCTCCTTTGCTCAGAGGCTCAGAGATCTGCCCAAACTTCTCCCCGGCACTCAAATCAAGCCCGACGCTTCCAAGGTACGCCGATATTTAATTAATCGAACGGCAGCTCTTCAATTCTGCAGCAGCCTACCAATTTTAGAATAAATTTGTATTGGTTCCATCTTTTTAACGATGGAGTTGGCGAAAGAGGCTGGAGAATTTCAAAAATTTTGATCAATGTAAAATTGAATTTTGTCTGTTCAAATTCGTTATTTGACGAAATTTGAACACAATTTCATCACTCAATTAGTAGGGGAAAAGATAACTTTGTGTATGCTTTTTTGGAGTGTGAAAGTGATACTGCACGGATATCCATGCAGGAGCGTTATTTATGGATCCGGTTAAGCTTTATAAAATGTATGATTGCATTTGAAGTGACCGAAACAAAAATTTAATGGAGGAGGAGCCAATTTGATTGGGTGGTATGGGCTTCGGGCAGACAGAAACAGTTTGCCCGCTGTCCTTTTATCCCCACCTACTAATACTATGCAACAACGTGGAAGAATGGCAAAAGTGTAATAAATAGGACAAACTGTCAAACTTTAATGGTTTTCTGTCAAAGTCCCTTCCTCGACAGGTGGCAGCAGTGCATAATCATCTATTTTTATAAGAAAATAATAACAATAACAAATATTATTTTTTATTTCGTTTTGAATAATAACAAATAATATTTGACGTGCAGTAACAGGCGGAAAGTAAGATCCACATGCATTGCACACCAATCTTGTTATCTTCATCTTTGATTATATCGACGATTAAGATGATTAAGATGCCCATAAGATAATATCTATACTTTTCTGTCATTTTCACTATTAATATTATTCCGTATTCACTAAATCTTATTATATCGACGATTTCACCGGAAAACTACCTATCGAAATCAAAGTTGATATAAAAAAAAAAATGGTTCAGCTCGTACCTTTAATGTCGAATAGAAAAATCAATCTCTAGCTAGTTTATTAAACAACAAACTTGTGATATAGTTATTAGTTTTTGTTTTTGCTACTACAGTCCAATTGAATTTTGTATCTAAAATAGAAAGTGGTTCACTGAATTTTCAGCTCATTGGGAGAACTCCCCTGGTTTTCCTCAACCAAGTGACTGAAGGATGTGGAGCTTACATTGCTGCCAAGCAAGAAATGTTCCAACCAACATCCAGCGTTAAGGACAGGTTACATTGCATACATAATTTCCCCTATCGTACATGAATTAACAGACCTTTTGTTGCAGAGACCAACCAAAAACACACCTTTCTCTTGTTATTATTCTCTGTTGTTGTGCAGACCAGCATTCTCAATGTTTGCAGATGCTGAAGCTAAGAACTTGATTACTCCCGGAAAGGTTGGTTAGTTAGTTAGCTTGTATGTTTGTTCTCATTCCAAAGATGGCTCAAAAGTTTCCTTCTCTAATGTCATTGCAAATCTATGTGGCTTTGCAACAGACAACCCTGATAGAGCCAACTTCAGGAAACATGGGCATCAGCATGGCATTCATGGCAGCCATGAAAGGCTACAAGATGGTTCTGACCATGCCGTCTTACACAAGCATGGAGAGAAGGGTGTGTATGAGAGCATTCGGAGCCGAGCTCATCCTCACTGATCCAACTAAAGGAATGGGGGGAACAGTGAAGAAAGCTTATGATCTGTTGGAATCTACTCCAGATGCATTCATGCTTCAACAATTCTCCAACCCTGCCAACACTAAGATCCATTTCGAGACGACTGGTCCTGAAATTTGGGAGGACACATTGGGACAAGTGGACATCTTTGTGATGGGAATTGGCAGTGGTGGGACTGTCTCTGGTGTTGGACAGTACCTGAAATCACAGAACCCTAATGTCAAGGTACTATAGACTCTCAGACTGCTGGTTGATTTCATTGGTTGTGAAAATGAGTGTAATCATGATTGGGGGTTTCATACTTTCATGGCAGATATATGGAGTTGAGCCTGCAGAGAGCAATATACTGAATGGTGGCAAACCAGGTGAAGAGAAGCTCATGTTTGTTCATTAGGGTTGGAACTTGCAAGAAGCTCCTGTTTGTTCCTAATGGCATTTTTTGTGGTCAATGAACATAGGTCCTCACCAGATTACAGGAAATGGAGTAGGGTTCAAACCTGATATATTGGACATGGACGTGATGGAGGCTGTTCTTGAGGTAAAAGAGACCTGCATCCCTGTCACATTCTCTGGATACCCAAACTAAGTGAGATCTTACAGCACTTGCAAAAAATCGTGGTTTCAGGTTAGCAGCGAAGATGCAGTGAACATGGCCAGGAGGCTGGCTGTGGAGGAGGGACTCATGGTAATATGAATAAAAGGCTCTAGCAATTTTGTTAGAACAATTTGATGTGGATCTGAGTTCTGTTGTTAACTTGTGATGGTGGATCTGAAATTGTGCCGGTAGGTTGGGATATCATCTGGAGCTAATACAGTGGCAGCACTTAAGCTGGCTCAGATGCCAGAGAACAAGGGGAAGCTTATTGTGGTATGACAAGGCTTGTGATGAACATTCTTTTTCACCTCCTAACATCTTAGGCAGAATTCATGATCGTGTGAACTGATCGAATCGCTCTTTGTTTGTGTTGTGATCAGACAATCCATGCTAGCTTCGGGGAGAGGTACCTGTCGTCGGTGCTGTTCCAAGAGCTGAGGAAAGAAGCTGAGAACATGCAGCCAGTCTCTGTTGACTGAATCATCTGCAGAACTACTCCAAATTTGTTTCTGTTCCAGGCAGTCTCTCGGCTCGGTTACATCTGTCTGTCAGTCTGTTGTTGTTTTACCCTTTAGCTGGTTTGTTTGCAACTCCTTCGGTCTCCTGCTTGTAATACTTGTAACCTATGGTAATGTTTAATGAAATCATGCGCCTAATAAATCTCTTCTTCCCCCCTTTTTGATTCAGTCTCAAATCACAATGATGTTTTTCTAAGAATGAAAAGCCTATAAAGTATAAACCAACTTCTCCTGAATTCAATCCATGAAGTAGATTACTATTTACCAGGTGCATAATGTACACCTTGAGCAGAATGGGTTTTCTAAAGTCCAACCCGAGCAATGAACAACACAGACACTCTGGGCCGGGCAAGCATCGGCCCATCTTTATTGAAGGCCTAAAATGATATCGGCTTCGCCAAGCCCATCAGATCTAATAACCTCGTTAACCCTCCTTGGATTATATTATCAACAATCATCTTAATTTTCCCCGTCATACAAACTGAGATTCAAGAGTGAAAAATATTTTAAAATTACGGATTCGATCTGTCATTATATTCAAATCAATTTGGTTTTGTCTACTTTGCTTCTAATATTGATTTCGATTCACTTTCTTCCATGTTTATATAATTTACGCACCGGATCAAAAACCAAATCACGTTATATTTGGTTCGATATGATCTAATTCAAACGTTAATTTGATCTACTACGGTCCAAACCATGGCTAGGGAAATAATTCATTGACTTTGGTATCCAAAAACCCAACAATATATTGGGAATGACGGAAGATGAAAATGAAAACATATACTCATTGACCATTCATCAAAACGGGAATAATTATAGAAAACAAAAGAATCTTTTGACCAAAAAATTGTCATGGGGAAGAAGGAAATGCATTAGAGAAGTGGGGCAGCAATCGCAGAAAGAAATTAACACACAGGCCAACCACTTTCGTTTCAACCACACAGACACCGCCTGCTGCTTCACGAATTAGGCTTCGTTACAATACGATCTCACAAACACCGAAACACGGAGTATTTCGCACCAGACAGGAAGAAAACCAAAAACAGAACTTAGGAATTAGGATCCCCATACACAATTTATGCATATTTAGATGTGCTTCGAAATTTTTACTAGCCGTAGAAAGCGATCAATCTTGCACGGTAAAAATTCAAAAAAGTAACTATGTATATAAACCATTATTAAACCTGAACTAACTAGAACGGGACGGCTAGCTAATTTCCTGCTTATAGTAGAAGACTAGAAACTATCATTTTTCAGACGTTATATGCTCTCGACCCTGCCAGCTACCCACCACGTGCCAAACGATCTGGAGATTCTTTCGATCAGCGGCCTCCGCACGTGCCGTGCTGCTGCCTGCCGACGACGTCGGCGGCGGCGACCACCACCTCGTTCCAGATCTGAGTGAACGCCCGAACGATGACGGTGTGGTAGCAGGGGGAATTCAGCTCCAGGAACCGCTTCAGCAGCTCCTCCAATCCGCTCCGGCTGTAAATCCCCTTCTCCACCACCATCTGCATCATCGAATCCCTAAAATCCTCGTACGGATCGTCCGAGTCCTTCACCACCGCGATGCTGCTCCCGATCGCCGATCTCCCCCGATCCGCAGCGCTGCTGCTCTCGTAGGACGAGGACGAGGAGGAGCAGGTGGAGGACGTCGCCGTCGTCGTCGTCGCGGTGGTGGTGCTGGTGGCGGAGGAGGAGTAATCGGCGCGCGACGGATCTCGATCTTCGTCGGCGGCGGCGGCGGGGGAGTTGGGGTGTTTGGGGAGGAAAGCGAGGATGTTGATGCTGGAGGAAGGGGAAGGAGGGACAGTGGTGGTTCTGGAGACGGTGAATTTGGAGGAGGAGGCAGGGTCGTGGACGTCGGAGAGGCCGCAGCCGCAGAAGGAATTGGAGGTTGAGGAAGATCTGAAGACTCCCAAGAGGAGCTGCTGCTTCTTCTTCTTCTTGGTTGTTGTAGCAGTGTTTGGATTTGGATTCCCCTGCTTGACCTTGCTGTTGTGGTGGACCGTTGGTTTTCCTGCGGCGGAGGACATCGCCGGAAATCTGGAATTCGGTTTAATTTGGAGAGAGGGAGAGAGAGAGAGAGAGAGGAGGAGGTAATTGAATTGATTAAGCAAATGGTAGAGTAGAGCTAAAAAAGGAAGATCAGTTCAGTTGGGCGAGGGGGAAGAGAGAAGGACAACGGCTCGCTGAGTGAGATTATATCACAAAAAGGGAGATAGCTAGATGATAAATATTTTGTTAGATTCGGCTTTGGTTAGGTTTTTAGCTTGGATTTGGTTTCGGCCGAATCGAAAAAATGACAATCGAAATTGAATTGGATATGGAATTTAATTTCGAGCGAGTCTGGTTCTCGATCGCTATTGAATTTCAGTTTCATTTCAAGTAATTGATCAAGTTGAAAGGTTACACAAATGATGTGACATAAAATTAAATTGCGTATCGGTCCTCATTACACGCTCTATACTTCAAACATACAAAAAAAATTATGTTTGTGCATGCATGGAACAACATATGGTACATAATTGTGGATCATAGCAGCTCATTTTATCTTTGATCATGTGATGTAGACCTAACCTATGTGTTTGGTGTTTTGACCAGAGCTTTAAGGTGTGAGATAAGATTTGAGTCTTCTCACTGATCAATCAAACTATTGTCGATATCTCGTTTCCGACGAATCTCTAGGAAAACAGAAGAACTGAACGAATCTTGCAGATAATAATCATAAATTCATAACGAATAAAGAAAAATATCATTGTGTTTGTATTCGAATATGAATATATATTTTTCTTTCCATTCCATCGTATGTTGGTTTTGATTCAATTCTAATTCGAACCGAACCGAACCAAACCGAATCATCTCCAGTCCCACCCACCCTTTAGTGGAGATGAAAGGAAGGAAATTTTTTGTTGGGTTGTGGTTGTTGTGGCAACGTTGATGGTTAGTGTTTGGTGGTGGAGTGGACCAGACCGCTTTTAATATGAACTATTTGATGCATTTCCGTTGGTATATTTCAGATTGATTTTCCCCTCTTTTCTTGATTACCAGTTGTGTGTTAGCAGAGGCAGAGCAGAGTGTTCAAAGAAGGAATTGTGGATATAAAAAGAGGAATGGAGAAGAAGAGAACAAAACAGAAAGGACAGCTAGCAGTAGCAGACTAGCAGTACAGTGGCATCTCCAATTCCCCATTTGTTTTAATTCAGAATGTGTTATAGAAATAAGTGATCTGTAGGATGGGAATTGACTCACAATTACAAATCATAAACATAAATTAATACTGATCAGTAACGGATCGAGATGATAATGAAAACAAAGGAAACCGGAAATACTAATCAATGATAAACCATCCAGTAGCTAATTATAATAACCCCACCCACAAGATAGAATGACAGGTACGTTTTGGATTTAATCACTCCCATTGTTGTTAATTAATTACAGATTTTTAATATTGAACGGCTAGGTGGACACCAATTAGATGGTTGTGGTAAGTGGGAAAAGACGAAGGTATATAGAGTAATCGATCGCATCTTGATTTGTCGAAATCGGGCAGCTCAATTAGTATGATATTGTCCGCTTTTGGTCAAATTCAGCAAGGATTTCCTTTTGAGTATCCTCCTCAAAAAGCCTCGTCCAACTGGACTAGGTGGGCCCCACTATATGGTATTTGGAAATGTCGCATAAGACACATTGCATCGCAATTATCCGATTACAAATCAAATTATCAAGAAGACACAAGTAGCAGATATACATCTTCTGTCTCATTCAACAGGAAAAAACAATTCCAAACCCCAACGAGTAAGTACCTAGCTAACTGAGTAGCCCAAGCGACAACAACGTACCATCTGCTTTGCTACTCACAAGATACAAAACATGTCTTTGTGCATGGAGATGAGGAGCATGACATGGATTTTTCTGCTTGTTGCCTTGGCATATTACACAATGTGAATGTCTTCGTATGTATGCAAAGACTGGTTATATTCGTAGGGTGAGAGACATCGATCGAGCTTAATTGAGAAGGGCCCCGAGCCATGAAGAGGAGCACATGGAAAGAGGATTGAAAGGCACGTTGAATTGCATGTGATGCCATTTAATCAGGACCAAGAAGTAGACTAGTAGAGATCACCATTAATGGAAGGAAGAAAGAAAGAAATCGTGTTCCTTTCACTCTGGCACTGCCAATTTAATAGCCAGGCCAACAGCAGGCAGAAGCCATCGTGCTTAAAAAACAGGGAATAAAAAGAGTGCGTCTGCCGGGAGTCGAACCCGGGTCTATTGCTTGGAAGGCAATTATCCTAACCGTTGGACTACAAACGCTTGATGCACACTGTAACCAAATTAACATTTATATAACAAAACAACAGGAAGAATATTGCTTTTTCCATATATATATATTTGCACTATGTCTGCATATATGGTGGATTCATATGTAAAGAGAGATAGGACTGATAAAATATGGAGATGGCTGCATCGGCGGTCGGCCAAGCGAACAACCACAACAAACAAACAAAAAGGGACGATGATGGTCGCAAATTCGCAATATATATGACTATGAGAACGTCCGTCGACAAAGAGGCGCGGCCATATATATACACACACTCCAGGAGACTTTTTATCTTCTTGCTATGTGTATCTATGTTTCTTGTTCCTGTCTTCTCTTCTACTGATGAGCGAACTGAAACCAAGTGCATCTCTTCTAGAACACAATGGGGTGCTGGCCGATAAAATCCCATCGGCGGTCCATCATTTTTATTGTGTGCGCCCTAATTAGAAAATTCGTTGTTTTAAGAATAAACGTGAAAGGTTGTTTTAAGAATTGCTGAAACTAATAATTTACCATTTATAAATCCAGTTCCATAATAAGAGAATTAAAGTATAAAAATGGGCACGGCCCATAGCCATACGGATCCGGATGACCCAGATCCGGCCCAGACTAAAACCGCGTTATGCAAGTGAGTGGGCTTTATGTACCCACATCTCAGTCACATTACCAAACTTCTGAACACAATCACGCCACGCGACGCCACACCATTCACTGCACTTTCACTCTCTCCAGTCTCCACCATTGCTTCCTCAAGCTTCGAGGGAGAAGGAAAAATCCGCCATTTCACCTGCAACACATATCAACAATCTATCCGAAGTTAAAGAAAGCTTAACCTCTATCCAGTTGTGACGATGTCTGCAACTCTGCAAGGCTCTGCTTCTTCGACTCTCTTCGGCAGGACAAACTGCAACACCACAGCTTCTCTAAAACCTCCCAAATCCATCCCTTCCCGATTCAGAACACGAGCTACCCGAGAGAAAACTGAACAGCTGAAATCCCCACCTCCAGCTTCCTCCCCGGACGAAATCACGCAGAAGTACGGCCTCGAAGCCGGCCTATGGAAGATATTCACCTCCAAGGATGATGAGAAAACTGGAGATGGCGGCGAGCAAGAGAAATCCAAGGGAGACCAAGCTAAAGAACTGCTTACCAAATACGGCGGAGCTTACTTGGCCACATCGATAACCCTCTCCATCATCTCCTTCGCCCTCTGCTACGCTCTCGTCAATTCCGGCGTCGACGTTCAAGCTCTGCTGCAGAAGGTTGCAATTTTTTCATCAACCCAAAATTGCTTTAAGCTAATGGACATCTACTCACCTTGCTTACTTTTCTGCAGGTTGGGATTTCTACAGATGCCACCGGGGAGAAAGTTGGGACCTTTGCCTTGGCTTATGCTGCACACAAAGCTGCATCTCCGATCAGGTTCCCTCCCACCGTGGCGCTTACTCCGATCGTCGCTGGCTGGATTGGGAAGAAGCCTGGCCAAAAAGAGCAGTAGAAAAGTAGAACACAACAAAATCTCATGTAACTGTTTTTTTCTCGTTAGGAACCCAAAAATGGAGACAGCTGAGCTAGCTCCTTCTGTTTGGAAAAATACGTACATAATGCTCTATATGGAGATACATTTTTCATGATCCGGAAGCTGTTCTACAGATCGTATCTTACACCTAGTAGCTCTTGTATCTATGTATCTTTACATGATTCTGAGATTTTATCTGAACAGACAATGGGGGGGAAGTACAAAATGCGGCCTACGGCTCAAGGAATGTACACAAAAGGGGAAATGAGCCGTCTTCTTATTAGCTAACTAGACATGAATGAATTCACAGACAATTGTTGCTTCCTTCCGCTGTACATCGAACTCAGGCTGCTTCCACTTGCGCGTTCTGCAGTAGTTCCTTCTCTTTACAGTGATGTGATATCTAGGAGAGAGTGACATGGTTTCACGGTGGAGTGGTGTTTGAAGCAGAAGGTGGCGGTTTTTTGGTTGGATTGGAAGTTGGTGGTTCTGTGGTTGGATCGGAAGGTGGAGGAGTTTGAGTGTTTGGTGGTATGCTGCTGCTGCTGCTGGTATTTGAAATGCCATGGTCATGACGGAGTCCATCAAGGTTGTCCCAGTCAAGCCCGACGGTGGCTGCTCATGGGTGAAGGACTTTTCATAAGTTTATGTAGACTGAAGGTAAGAACTTCTAGTTATAGCAAAGGATACGATCAGTTCGCCACATGTCTGTGAGGCTATATTCGGCGTCCGACAAAAACCAGTAATCTGCATCACGCTGCATAACCACACAGAAAAGCAGGAAACGTCAATCTTGAAACCTAATGAACCAACAACGGAAGGTTAGTTCCTTGTGCAAAGCAAAATTGGTATACTCACACCAGCATCACTAGGAGCAATCTTCATGATGCCACTGAAAGGAACATGAGGAGAATTAAGAACATCCTGTCCCTCTACTGCAATCTCCTTTCCTTTGCTACTCGTCTCTGTAACCACTGTGGTAGTTGCTGGATTATCGTTTATGACGGAGGTACATGGAAGGCTAGGGGCTGGCGGTTCAACGCCCTGGATCTCCTCACTCTTCACTTCAAATTTGCTGAGGCATACATTCAAGCCCAGTAAGTAGACGACTCGGTCAAGTTATGAACGTCCATTTGACTGTCGCTTAACTTGGAGGAATAATACAAGGCTGGGAAGCAACGGTTACCTGACAAGATAGACATCTATACGGCCCATTGTACTTCTGACCATCATTCTGTATCTTTTCTGACCATTGTCAGCAGCCTATAGAGAAGAAAGGAGATAACTTTGGAGAAGTATTCTGCAGACTTGAAACATAGACATTTTTCTCTGAAGTACTTGAGCTATTTACCTCGTCAGGATCAGGGACCTCCAATTTAGTACCATGTGGAGCTTTGATAACCATCAGTGTTTCATTCTGCCAAAATCAACAGTATATTGAAACAAGAACCAGACTTGATGGAGAATTGAATTGGAAACCTGAAAAATACTCATGCAAATCTTATTAACCTGGAAACCGGGTAAGTTCTTGATATCATCCTCGGTGACAAAAAGAAACCTGAAACAAATACAAGCCAAAAAACAAACTAAAATCACATAATATGCTTCAAACATATTGAAAGCGGGGAAGATATATGAATGTTAACCTAAGATTGTTGCTATCCTCGCTGAGGACTCTCAGCCTCTCTTTCATTTTCCTGCAATAAGTTTTTCAATTCTCAGAGATGTCAAGACATTGCAACAGAAATTAACCAAATTAAAATGTGGAAAAGACAATGAAGAAAACCTTATCTGCTCATCGATACGGCTTTCCTCAATGTTGAGATTTTCAATTTCTTCCTGCTTAATGAAACAATTGACCAAGTACGATGAAACAATCCCAGTTGTACAGACTCGCAGCAAAAACTGCGTATAATCCAACATGCTTCAAACCATCTTGGTACTGTTATAAAAAATCAGAAATCATGGCCCTCTTGATGACCTACTTAGTAGTAAAAAAAAATGGAACATGCAAAATTTCCACAGCTAACCCCAACTGACAACAGGTTGGTCATTACACAGCTTCAAACTAGTTCACAGACAATGGAATGATCATTACACACCTGCAAACTAGCAGCACTCTCATCTGTCTCTCCTGGAGTGACATCATGTCCCCTGTGATAATAGAAAAACATGGATTACTTTTCCAGTGCAAAAAGTATAAAGAAGATAAGAGATGGAAGATGAGTTGGAAACTGGATAAGGAGGGAATAGAGCAAGATACTCAAGGTCCTTACTTCCATTGAATTATGTTCTTGAACTTCTTTTCTATCAGACCAATTCCTTCCAGTACATTTGTTATGTCGTATATGCGTCTTTTTTGAACCTGTAGCAATGAAAAAACTTTAATACACAGATTCAGTAATATTGCCCGACCAGTGAGAAAATAAATTATCACCTCTAAAGTTTCAGCAGCTTTATTGAGATCAAGAATTCCATCTTCAGCATGTTTGATCAAATTGATGAATTTCTTTGTTAGGAGACCTGGAATCATCATTTTGTGGAGGGAGGTTAGGTAGCGATAAGGATTCATAGAAGCTAACTAATATGGCCAGATATGCTGAAAGTTACCTAGAGAGCTATCGTCACGAAAAGGACCAGTTGAAGTAAGATTATTGCCAGGCAAACCTGTAAGAACACAAAGAGAAAAATCTCCTTCAGTGCTGGATGGATCCAGAGCATTAATATTTTGTAATAAATCCTAATGCTGATAAGTTCTATTGGATCAAAATGCCAAGATAAAATAGTATAACAAAAATGAAAATTGGAATGACCACAATAGATATCATGAGGTTATTGTCTCACCAGTATTTGCATTGTCGTTCTGCTGTGCAGATTTAGTACTCCTTGAACCGTTGGATGCCTTCGAAGCTTTTCCACCTTCCTCGGAGACCGGTGTCTGGATGGGACTGTTTGCAACTTCAGTATATGCCGAGCTAACATTCCACTCTCTAGACTCAGCTTCAAATGCTGCTGTATCACCCTTCCGCTTTAATGGCTGATGAAAAACATATTGGTTACTTCTTCTAATTCCCATATTAGGCAATATGCACTTAATACTGTTAAGTGACTGGAATCTATTGCCAAAGGTCAAAGGCTGTGAAATACACAAGACAGCAGATTCAGAAAAATGACAGCACCGATAGAGAGAGCAAAAAAAGCATCCCCTAAGCACCTAACACAACAGTTCACAGGTCCGTCACTATGAACAAAAAGTGGATCCGTTGAAGTAGAAGAACCAGAGCTCATGTCCATATGAGCGTCACTCAATGCATCCGAACGATTTCAGCAAGGTGCACACGCATGCAAACAGCTTTTCCAGTTATGGGAGAGCAGAAGAGACTGAAGAAGCCTCACATTCTCATGTAAAAGTCTCTACAGCCGCATGGTCATCGGTATTTTCTTTTCAGAATGTATACAAACTCGTAAACAAAATCGACATGAATCTAATTCCCATGCTAAGGTCAGGGTAAGATAGAATAGGCATGGCTCATACACAGCAATCTTTCCTTGCCACTCAACTTTGTCAGAAGACATCAAAGCATCATCTTAACAAAAGCAGAAGCAATTTTGAGAAGAATACCTAACAACGTGTATTATTTTCAGGTTCCATTCCGTCAAACTTATTATTTTGCGGAATGCTAATCTCCCTGACATAGATAACGAAGTGAAGAACATGATTCTTTCCTGCTCTAATGTGTATCTTTGATCTTGGAAAAATAACTGTTTGGACAGTCAGGTTCTTGGAAGCAGCAAGTCCCTCGCTAAGATCAGCAAGCAACAATTACTGACATCACCATTGAATCGCGCTAATTCAACCTCTTAAAACTCCCGAAGCTCTAAAATCGCCTGTTTACTAAGAAGCATTGAACTCCTACTAATACAACTAGGAAAATTCTCGTCCAAGAAATCCTAATTCACTGACCTATTGCGGGAATTCCAAAAAGGAGCAGATCTCCCGCCATCAAGGAGAATAACGTTGAAACGCACAGAAAACAAGCGGGGTAGTACGAATCAAGAACTTGAGGAATCGTAAAAGAAATTAAAGTAGAAGAGGAAAGAATTAGTTACAGGCGATTTGACGATGATTGCCTCGGGCTCCTGATCAGCGGTGCGGCGAGGGTGGGTACTGAATCGGTGATAGTCGCCAGGAGAAGAGAACGGAGGCTTCGCAGTAGAGAAAGCCAGCTTAGGCTTCGGCGCACTGGAGGAGGGGGACGGGACGACGGCGGCGGGGACGCTCTGCTGCTGTTGCTGTTGTGCCGGCGGCGGGGGCGGTGGCGGCATCGCTTCGGAACCAGCAGGAGGCTCGGAATTCGACATCTGTGGTCCTCGAATAAGAGAAGAAGGCCTGGAGGAGGACGACGGGACGACGGTGGCGGGGACGCTCTGCTGCTGTTGCTGTTGTGCCGGCGGCGGTGGCGGTGGCGGCGTCGCTTCGGAACCAGTAGGAGGCTCGGAATTCGACATCTGTGGTCCTCGGAGAAGAAGACCGGTGAAGCTGGAAGAGGTTTGGGGAAATTGTTCAGTTAGCGATGGCGGGAACTGGAATTGGGGTTGGAATCGGGTGGAGTCTTGGAGATCTGGCCGGTTTGGGAAGCAAGAAAATGGAAAAGAAAAAAAAAAGCGGGAGGGAGGAAGGTAAACGAAGAGCAGAAAAACGAGGGAAAAGTGTGGGAAGAAGGAAGGGAGGGAATTTGGTTCGGATATAGATGTGGAGGGAAGCGAGCGATTATATAAGTACGTCCCTCCTCAGAATATATATTAGACTAAGAGCCCCGAACTAATGGATTTTAACAATTGGATCCAATTATGTGAAATGCTACTTTAGGATGCTAATGATATTGCAGATTGATTTTCATTTTGGGAGAGTGGCATTCTAAAATGTATTTCTTATTAAAAAAATTTCTGTTGAGCAATGTGTGTAAAATTATATATGATATAATAACAAAAATGAGGGACAATAACAACGAAAATATGAATGTCTGATATTATCATTCGATTGAGTTTTGTTAGCTAAGTTGACAACTGCTTTATTGCACTCTCGAAAGTAGGGGTGTTCAAACGGTTTGGTTACCATGGTAACCGTTTTAACCAGTACTATTTGGATAATTTGGTTTGGTTAATTTGGATAATTGGTTTGGTTTGGTTAAAGTTTTTAGCTTGTTTGGTTTAGGTGGTTTGGTTTGGTTTCAGACACTCCTAACCAGTCAAACCAAATTAACCAGTTAAGTAATTAGTCATATTTCTAACATATATTATATACACATACTTAATACTTTGCATAACCACTCAAGAGTTAACGTTCATCTCTTTTAGACTCATAAAATATAAAGCTCAATATTGCTCATATAGTGTATATTTGTATATGTAAAATGTAGACCACAACATATGGACGCCTAATTTAGATAAATTTCATACATTATGATGGATGAAAACTTGAAAGGAAGGTCATTTCCAACCTATGATAATTGCTAAGAGACTAAGTCAATTTACACAAACACAACAATTCACTAACCCATACCATTGTCATAAATTTTTGTTAGGTGAATACTTCTATACTAATCGTAAGATAATTGTCTTAGTTGCATGTATTTTTGTTAAGGGTCAACTATAACTACGTGTTGATTGTTATGTTTTATTCATTATATAAATTGCGAATTGTTGCATTAACCGGAAAATTTTTATCGTCAATGATAATGTGATTTTATATTGGTTAATCTGGTTAACCAATTAACCAAACCGATTAAACTTTAGTTTGGTTAATTCGGTTGTTGTATTAGTTTGGACGGTTTGGTTATGATATTGAATTCCATGGTTAATGGCATTTAGCCTTATTTGGTTTGGTTATAACCATGGTAACCATTTGAACACCCCTACTCGAAAGATACTGAGGGGTCTCCACCTCATATTATCGATGGCAAATTGAATCAACACAACAACACCCTTTCTTTTGTGCAACTTTTCTTCCTTAACTCATTAGCAATCTCCTCATAGCAGTTGTTTGCAACACGGTCGCTGATTGGGAGAGGATGGGTTAATTGCTAGTATGGCATATTTAATGCAATCGGCCGGTCATATGACATTAAAAATGTTCGAATAAATTTCATTTGCTTACCGTATAAAGGGAGACACCGGTACACCATTATGGATTAGTTGATAGTGTGACATATTTGGTTGCTCCCTAGACGCACGACCTGCTTGATTGATGCTTCTCCTTTAGTGAATAGTAGCTTGTTGGCACTTATTAACTATCTTTTCATTTATTTAGTTTAGTGTAATTTCTCCCCGTGCAGTATAGTTTGTTTCACTAGATTGTGTGCTTTTGAATGAAACTCTCAGTCTCAATCACAAATAAATCATATGAGTTGATTACTAAAACCATTTAAAAAAAAAAATATTACTCTATCTCCGTTCTGTTGGTCTTTAAATCAAAATTGGAGTACCTATTTATCATTGAAGAAATGGGACATTATTGGTTGACAATTGACATATAAATACAATGGACAATGCCAAAATAACAAAAACCAAAATATTTTGATTCATTATACAAAAACTGAACTATGTGAAGATGGGAACACATGGAATAAGTACAGTTCCATTAGATCTTATGGTGTTTGCTACTTTGTTTCGACTTGAAAAATAATAAACTACGATTTAATTTAGACTTTCAGAGCCTGGAGTATGCAGTTCATCTCAATGCATTATTTTATGAGAATGCCAATTCTGCCAAAGAAGAAGTAGGTACAAAAAGGAAAAAAGGAAACCGAAGCTTGTTTGGCGCGCTTTTAACCTTCTTATTATCATCAACCCACAACAAACCTTAACTGCTTCTCCCTCTCTCCATGACTCCAACTACGCATTCAGAAGTCAGACTGAACTATTTTGGCTAACGAGCATTGACTTAGAGAGAGAGTAATTCTCAAGGTCAAGCCGGCTAACAAATTCACCCCAGTAGAAAAGCCATATAACCCGATCAAAAAGTCACTCTTATCTCTCCCCATTAATCCACCAACCCTCATTCAAGGTCAAAATTAGACAGTAACCAGTAAGGCAGTAACCAGTTTCATTGGACTGCAAGCTACACATCTCAATATCTCATCAAGCAAAGGAAACCCACATTTAGTTCTACAACAATGTGCACTGTAAATGGTCATTACAGAATGAAAAAACAGAATCTCCAGCCACAAAAAGCAATGCAAATGTAGTTTGGTCTTCCATGGATTTACATCAACGGTGACTCCAGAATTCTGACCCACTCCTCTGGCTAAAAAAGCTCATTTCAACAACACCAAACTCAGCTACTGACGGACCAGCACTGTTACTATTTACCTGGAAACAGATGAGCCAAATCAGGATCATTGAGATCAATGTCCAGCCATCCATTCAGCTGCATGTACTCGACATAACGGTCCGGGGGCTGCACTGCACGAACATTGGTGGGCTTGAATCCATGAATCCTCTCGACGTCGCGAGCAAGCCACTTCATATAAGCAGGGTCTACTGGAGGAACCACCCTCACTAGGATGGCATCATTCTTTTTCTCTGGCTTCACAGGCTTGTTCCCCATGGAGTAAAGTAAACTCGTCTGCCCAACAGAAACAGGGGATCAATCAAACACTTAGAATGACAACAGCTGCAATGTAGGCTTCCACTCCATTTTAGGCAAATTTCGACAGAAACACAGCACAGAATGACATTCTGTGGCAAGTTCCTCCATTTGTTATACTCTTGAGACTATGAACCATGTTCGAAATTTCAAACATAAGATTGAGCTATCGAATTCTTGATACAATAACGAATCAAGAAAAGCCTGTCTCAAGAGCTCCAATTCCATAGGCAAAGCCATTTGAATTCTGAAGATAAGTGATAAAGAGGCTGATTTTGCAGCACAGGCATAATGCAGACCGGCGTGCTGGCCAAGAGAAACGACAATCAAATGCCAAAATAACCAGTCCATGAACGAGAATGGAAGAGTTTAATTCGAGTTCATGGCACAACCTTCATTGTGAGAGTCCATTTTGAGTTAGTTTATGTTTAACCATTTCAAGGGTTTTACTAAAAGGCTCAAAGCCTGCAATTTGAATGATCAAAGATAACTTCACAATTATCCCAAAATAATCCAATTCCACTAGCGAGGAACAGCCCAGAGATGCAGTGAATACGGAGTAGTAAATAGAGGCAATCGAAGGGAGAAATGGAGCAGAAAGATCGGAGCTTTTGGAGCCTAACTATTGGTGAAGCATGGAGGAAAAATCTAACCGGAGAAAAGTGGCAATCGAAGACGAAGAAACCGAGGAATCAATTCCGATTAGAGATATTGGAATTGGAACGGCGTACCTGTGATTTGAATCGGGTTTTTTCCCCCTTCTTTTTCCGGCGACCTGAGCGAAGGGATGAGGAAGAGAAGAAACCAACCAACCAAATCAGAATCAGAGTATTTACTATTTAGTTACTCTGGGCAGTGAGTGGCCACCGTATTGCGAGTTAATATCCGAAATGGTCACCAAACCATGCTTGATGTTACAAAATAGTCATCAAACTTCAAAACGTACCAAATTCATCACTCACATTTAGGCAGGGCCGGAGCCAGGATTTCGAGACTGGGGGGCTGAAAATAATTAAACAAAATGTATGTAGCCAAAGTGGATCAAACACGTGTTCTATTGGCTACCATTAGACCACATAACTATTACACAACAAAATTTACGAAACAAGTTCTACTTATAATTTGTACTAAATATCCTTACGATCCTAGGGGCTGGAACAAATCCCGGGGGGACCGGGGCCCACCCTAGCTTGAGTGTAGCTCCGCCCCTGCATTTAGGGATGCTAAACAATGAGTCGGTCAAGTTGAGTTTCGTCTTGTTCAGGTTCGGTTCCTTTATCAACCATCTGAGTCAGTGGAACTCGAACTGGCTCAATTGTTAAAACATTGGTTCATCGTTAAGATCATGAGCTGGAGCTCAACTCATTTATTCTTAATAGTATAATCTTTTACCATTTCAATATACCGAGTAGGGACTTTATTGGGTCAACTATTGTGGAATTTGACATTGGCAACTCGGTAATATGGCTGGAAATGAGTCGAGTAGCTCACAAACGACTCAGCATTATACCGAGATAAGCTCGTTTGAGTTCGGGAGCTGATTGATGAGCCGTGAACTCGAATAGACCTATTGAACTTATTAATGAGTCGTGTTTGAGTTGAACTCGAGTTAAAATACGAACCGAAAGCTCAAATTGTAATTCGTTGGGGTTAAGCTTGGGTTCAACACCGTTGCAAGACTTGTACTTCCAATTCGTTTGAGCCCAAATATCCTTCTGTTACTAGAGGGCCCATATGCTTTGAATTAGGCCAGATATGAGATTGAGTCAGGCCCAAATTTCTGTCATGGACAGTCCATGTGCATACCAAAAAGAGATGTAGGTCTACAAGTAATTGAAGTTCAGTACCTGCTATTTTTTTTATATATATAAGAAAAGTTCAGTACATACTATATGTAAATTGGATGGACCGAAAACAAAATTCCAGAACTCTTAATCAAATCAGCATGGTTTGGAGAATGATATTTAGAGAATTGATTCAATCACTTACTTTGTTGAATTTAACATTTGAAATTCTAGCTTTATAAATTCAAAATCCCTAGGGAACAGGTTTATCAATCTCTTATAAAATAAAAGATCATATATCCTGACTTTTTTTCTTTATTTACATCAAAGAATTACAGTTACCAAATAATAAATGTGTTAGACTCCATTTTAAACAACCATAAGAGTTAGATCCTCGAATTCGCTAGAATCACATGATTCACAATCTAGTTCTCCAAATAAACGTTAAATTTCTAATTTAGTTTAATTTGATTTAAAATTGAGCACAATTGTCCTAAGTAGGAAGAGTTTGGTGAGACATTAGAAACATCTTCCCTGCGTAGCCATAGTCCAATGGAACACTTGCCCACTTGACAGGGAAAGAAGATGTTAGCCCAAAGTTTTAAAAGTGTGTAAAAATGGAGGCCTGTAGTGGTCCTTGACCAGCCGTAATCTTGTTCCTCATTCGATTCCTTCCAGCTCCATGATTTTGAAGTCGAAACAAAGAAAGAACCATTAGCTTGTTCAAGTGGTATGCGGTAGAAAAATCTTTTAACATTCCTTCACATACTATGAGAATAACTAAATCGTACCGAAAATTATATAGAAAAAGAAATTTGTGTTGAAGTTGTAGTTGAACCAATTTATATCGTTAAAATTGTTTACCAACCAACAATCGAATAGACGATTTTCCCGATCGAACCGCTTATATGTTACGATTTTACAAACATTGCTTATTATATGAAATTCAACGTAAAGGAAAAGACCAGAAGGTTCAATTACTACTGCATGTGGAAGAAAGCCTACACTCATCTACTACCTGTACATGAAATTAATTATTGGGTTAGCTCTTTGTGGAATTTTTGGGCAACTCGGTGGCTACCAATTGAATCGAGAGTTACAATTATACGGAACGACGATGATGTCGCTCGCGTGGAAAAAAATTGTCTGTGGAAAATAAAATTGGCAGCAGAAAAATTAGTGGGCTGGAGATGTGGTCAGGCCAGCCAAAGGGCAATTAATCAAAGCTTCCAATCTCCCCCATCAAAATCCAAAAATTAGCTGTCCCCCGAGACGAAACGCTACGCAACTATTCCTAGTGCGTATTTGCACGCCATGACGCTAAGCTACCCACCGGAGAAAAAAACAAAACAATTTGTCAGTTAGTACTTAGTTCCATTTGGCTTGGATCGAGTAATTGCGGTATTGGATCGAAAACTTACCGATTTAATATTGAGGGTTACGAGCAAGGTTGTCAAACCGGTTTATGCCAGTGTGCCGGTTTAGCAAGTTGAATGGTTCGACCGGTGGCACATATCGGTTTGTACCGGTTCATGCCGGTCAATATTACAAATAAGATTATAAATACTCATATTTAAACATGACATTTAACGTCAATACCTAAACATTTATACTTGAATCCAACAAATAACATCAAAATTTAACTTTTATACTCATAAAATAAATAATAAAATAATTTTTAACAATTAAATTCACTAAAATAAGATCATTTTACTTAGAGATTCGTATATCGATCATGCCGGTCATACCAGTGGTGTCACGCCGATTTTATGACCGGTATCGGTTGAACCAGGTACAACCGGTGGCACGCCGGCCGGCGTGACAACCATGGTTACGAGAATTTGAATACGTGATCTGAAAGACAAACTCATTTTAATATTATATTATAAATCAACTGATCCCAATAATTCAGATTGTTGAGAGAAGTCTATATATAATACCTAACCACTTCTATACATAAACCTCTGTAAAAATAACTGGATCCATTCAAAATACAGATAACCAAAAACAATATTTTCCAATCGGTTTTGGAAGACATGACCTAAACACATTTGACTGAGAAGGGGAAACCCCAAAGGTAACTAGGAGATGGGCGAAGTCACGAAACGTTCCCCATAACAACGAATCGTCTTCAAGCCCAATTCCCGTTTCGATGCACTGCTGAAACGCTCTGCAGATGCTGCTGAAGCTGATTGCCAGAACCTCTTTGAGCTTCTTCTTCCTGCGCATTCAAGTCCATAACTCCAGCAGCATTCTTCAACACGCCCCCGCAAGTTGGCGCGTAGATATTCATCACGCCCAACTTGTCAAGTAGATAGTTGATTCTGTAACGAGTGAGCCCCTTTGTAAACAAGTCTGCAATGTTCTCTTCACTTCGAATGTAGCAGAGTTTAATCAGTCCTGACTTGACCCTTTCTCTTATCACATGAACATCGATTTCGATGTGTTTGGTCCGTTCATGATATACTGGATTCTCCGCTATCTGAATTGCTGACATGTTGTCACAGAAAACATTAACTGGAACAGGAAGCTGCACATTCAATTCCTTTAAAAGGCCTTGTAACCACTGAATTTCACATACCAGATGGGCAAGTGCCCTGTATTCCGCTTATGAAGAGGACCTTGAAACGGTTGTCTGCTTCTTAGCTCGCCAAGTAATTAATGATCCTCCCAGAAAAGTGCAAAAACCTGATATGGACTTCCTAGTATCAGGGCAAGCTGCCCAGTCAGCATCACTGTATGCTTTGAGGGTTAAATCAGTGTTGGATTTGAAATGCAACCCTTGCCCAGGAGCTCCTTTCAAGTACCTGAGAACCCTGAAAGCTGCCTGCAAATGAGTGTCTCTAGGCTGAATCTGATATTGGCATAATTGCTGGACAGGATAGGCAATATCAGGTCTTGTCACAGTCAAATAATTTAACTTGCCAATCCACCTTTTGTAACAACCAGGATCATCAAGCAACTTTCCTTCTTGAGCACTTAGTTTTACCTTGCAATCAATAGGACTCTTGCAGCTTTTAGCATTTGTGTAACCTGTTTCTTCAAGTAAATCCAGACAATATTTCCTTTGGCAAACTGTGATTCCAGTTTCATTTC